TTTGTTTTTATTCAAAAGCCTAAATTCATTCACAAGTTTTATATTGATATAACAAATGTCCAAACCGTTACCACAGCATGGAAGAAAACATGTCATATTAGTTACGAGTTACAATTCTATTACACATTTCACTGTCTGTCCAAAATAGGGTTAGCAGTTCAAGTAAATGATATCATTTCTTTCCTTTCATGTTACCTGTTTCTATGTTGAATTAAATTGTTTAAGGCTTATGTCCAGCCCGTTACCATTTCTGTCCAAACCGTTACCACTATTGTCCTAACCGTTACTGGTGTTAATTGACCGCTCTAATTAATTCATGATAATACATGAAACACTCCTCTTTATGTTGGTGTCATCAAAAGATGTTCTGGGCTAAGTAGCTGATGTTTATTTTAGACAATTTCACCTGTTGAAAGCTATATACATAATAATGTTTCAGAAAAATGCTATCATTTTGTGGTAAATAAATGAAAGATACAAAATAACACTTTCAAGATTCATGATGATAGTTTTTACCTTCAAGTTTGATTAAGTCTGTGTAAAAGCTGTGTCTGCCATCTTTAAAAGATTTTTATGAATTATATTTCAAAATCCATACTCTCACTAAGAAGTGGTAACGGTCAGGACAGTACCCCACCCTTGTCATTACTTATGTATCAATTAAAAGGTCAATTAGTGCATTTCAGTTTGCATGTTAGTATTTTTGAATAATTAAGTGTTTAAGGTTTTATTTGAATAAAAATTAAATCAATTTTGAGGAGTTTGATTTTACTGTAATAACATTGCTCAAAGGCCAAAGACTGCGGTACACAGTTCTCACTTTGATCTCAAATTTAATGAAGAGAACTTCAATACAATGTACAAGATAGTCCAGTTTCACAAACAATGTACAAAGTGATCCAGTTTCACAGTGTACAAAGTGATTCAGTTTCACATATACAAAGTGATCCAGTTTCACAGTGTACAAAGTGATCCAGTTTCACACACAACGTACAAAGTGATCCAGTTCCACAATGTACAAAGTGATCCAGTTTCACACACCATGTACAAGGTGATCCAGTTTCACACACCATGTACAAGATGATCCAGTTTTACACAATGTACAAGGTGATCCAGTTTCACACACCATGTACAAGGTGATCCAGTTTTACACACCATGTACAAGGTGATCCAGTTTTACACACCATGTACAAGGTGATCCAGTTTCACACACCATGTACAAGGTGATCCAGTTTCACAACCATGTACAAGGTGATCCAGTTTTACACAGTGTACAATGTGATCCAGTTTCACACACCATGTAAAAGGTGATCCAGTTTTACACACCATGTACAAGGTGATCCAGTTTTACACACCATGTACAAGGTGATCCAGTTTTACACAGCGTACAATGTGATCCAGTTTCACACACCATGTACAATGTGATCCAGTTTCACACACAGTGTACAAGGTGATCCAGTTTCACACACCATGTACAAAGTGATCCAGTTTCACACACCATGTACAAGGTGATCCAGTGTTACACAGCGTACAATGTGATCCAGTTTCACAACCATGTACAAGGTGATCCAGTTTTACACACCATGTACAAGGTGATCAAGTTTCACACAGTGTACAAGGTGATCCAGTTTTACACAGTGTACAAAGTGATCAAGTTTTACACAGTGTACAAAGTGATCCAGTTTTACACAGTGTACAAGGTGATCCAGTTTCACACACCATGTACAAGGTGATCCAGTTTTACACACCATGTACAAGGTGATCCAGTTTCACACACCATGTACAAGGTGATCCAGTTTTACACACAGTGTACAAGGTGATCCAGTTTCACACACCATGTACAAAGTGATCCAGTTTCACACACCATGTACAAGGTGATCCAGTTTTACACAGCGTACAATGTGATCCAGTTTCACACACCATGTACAATGTGATCCAGTATTACACACCATGTACAATGTGATCCAGTTTTACACACCATGTACAAGGTGATCCAGTTTCACACACAGTGTACAAGGTGATCCAGTTTTACAAACAATGTACAAAGTGATCCAGTTTCACACACCATGTACAAAGTGATCCAGTTTCACACACCATGTACAATGTGATCCAGTTTCACACACAGTGTACAAGGTGATCCAGTTTCACACACCATGTACAAAGTGATCCAGTTTCACACACCATCTACAAGGTGATCTAGTTTTACACAGCGTACAATGTGATCCAGTTTCACACACCATGTACAATGTGATCCAGTTTTACACACCATGTACAATGTGATCCAGTTTTACACAGCGTACAATGTGATCCAGTTTCACACTAAGTGTACAAGGTGATCCAGTTTCACACACCATGTACAAGGTGATCCAGTTTTACACACCATGTACAAGGTGATCCAGTTTTACACAGTGTACAAGGTGATCCAGTTTCACACACCATGTACAAGGTGATCCAGTTTCACACACCATGTACAAGGTGATCCAGTTTTACACACCATGTAAAAGGTGATCCAGTTTCACACACCATGTACAAGGTGATCCAGTTTCACACACCATGTACAAGGTGATCCAGTTTCACACACCATGTACAAGGTGATCCAGTTTTACACAGTGTACAAGGTGATCCAGTTTCACACACCATGTACAAGATGATCCAGTTTCACACATCATGTACAAGGTGATCCAGTTTCACAAACAGTGTACAAAGTGATCCAGTTTCACACATCATGTACAAGGTGATCCAGTTTCACACACCATGTACATGGTGATCCAGTTTCACACATCATGTACAAGATGATCCAGTTTCACACACCATGTACAAGATGATCCAGTTTCACACACCATGTACAAGGTGATCCAGTTTCACACACAATGTACAAGGTGATCCAGTTTCACACACATTTTATCACATAAACTGACATACTAGATGATTCTATTCGTCTCAGAACACGCCACAAGGATCAGATTTCACATACATGTATGTCAGTCCCCAATTGCTGATCAGCCCCACCTACACGTGCCCAGGAGTGAGTGAGTGAGTGAGTTTAGTTTTACACCGCACTCAGCAATATTCCAGCTATATGGCGGCGGTCTGTAAATAATCGAGTCTGGACCAGACAATCCAGTGACCAACAGCATGAGCATCGATCTGCGCAATTGGGAACCGATGACATGTGTCAACCAAGTCAGCGAAACTGACCACCCGATCCCGTGCCCAGGAAAATACCAATGATACTGAATGAGTGAGTGAGTTTTGGTGTTACACCGCTTTTAACAATATTCCAGCAATATCACGGCAGGGGACACCAGAAATGGGCTTCACACATTTCACCCATGTGGGGAATCGAACCCGGTTTTCGGCATGACAAACGCATGAATGCATTAACCACTAGGCTACAACACCACCCCCATACTGAATGAAATTTGAACAAAATCAATAAGATTGACTACACCCATCAACATGTCATACCAGACAGATACACTGAGCACTGTGTGTAACCTAATTGTGTAAATAAGGACTAAAATGGACTACATTACAAATTTGGCAATCTTCAATTTATGCACAGGCCAACTGACGAGTAGTGACAGCATATTTTGCTTGTCCAAATTTGATATTCTTTCAGCCGAGGTAAAGAAAATTTTTAAAACCCTGAAAGTGTGTCACAAAGAACAATAGGTGAGGTGAAATAGGGTTTAATGCCACACTTAAGAATATTTCGCCCATATGACATGTACTTGCATGTGTATGTGCAGCTGCTTGTACTAGTCCTGCCGTAAGCTGGTTTGATAGTGCTAGCGCACTGAGATACCATGCCACAGTTGATATAACGGTAGTACTATTAACTGCCCAACGAAGAAGGGCATTTGAAAAAGACCAAGGGGTTCTGCAAATGATAATGCCCTCAAAAATAGCATTACTGTTATTATTGCTAAAATACATGGAATTTGTGTTAAAAAGAAAAAGGAACCAAAGAAGGAATTTGACTAAATTTACTCAAAACCAACTTCTAATTGAGTTGACTGACCGAATGCAATTACCTCATCGCACAATTCAAGTGGCGTCACAACAGAACGTGACGATATTCGACCTTTGCCTTCGATGAGACCATGCCTACAACATGTCAAACTATGTCAGTGTTCGGTTTTGGTCAACAACAACGTTAATAGTGCAATTCTTAAGGTTAGCACCAGCAAGAAAGCCAATATTACCGCTATTTAAAGCAGGAATTCAGGTTGCTTTGACTTGTTTGCCCCAGAATATCTGCCAGTCCAAAGCCAAAGTCAAATGAACTGGCGCACCTACTATGACGTCACTTGACAACAGAACTGATATTGGCCCGTCGTTAAGGTTGAGCAGTCCAATATCATTTGCAGCGGCCCGCAAATTTCTGATAATAGGAGGGCCATTTCATGATAATTCCATGATGCTCTAACCACTACATGGCGAATGCTCTAACCACTACATGGCGGCTTCTCTAACCACCAACCACTAAATGGCAGATGCTCTAACCACTAACCACTACATGGCGAATGCTCTAACCACTAACCACTACATGGCGGATGCTCTAGCCACTACATGGCGGATTCTCTAACCACTCCAGACACATGCTCGAACCACTACATGGTGGATGCTCTAGCCACTACATGGCGATGCTCTAACCACTACATGGCAGATGCTCTAACCACTACATAGCGGATGCTCTAGCCACTACCAGATGCACGCTTGAACCACTACATGGCGGATGCTCTAACCACTAGATGGTGGATGCTCTAACAACTACATGGCGGATGCTCTAGCCACTACATGGCGGATGCTCTAACCACTACATAGCGGATGCTCTAGCCACTACCAGATGCATGCTCTAGCCACTAGATGGCAGATGCTCTAGCCACTAGATGGCAGATGCTCTACCCACTAGATGGCGGATGCTCTAACCACTACATGGCGGATGCTCTAACCACTACACCACGGAGGCGGTACAAAGAACAATAACACAAACAAGCTGATGGATGTTTATATACAAGATGAGGCATACAAAACACTGCCACTTCCGCTATTCCAACAACAGGTACATATACCATGGTTTCCACTTCAAGATTAGCACACTGCCAGTATCTTGGGGACATGTCTTACATACTCCACCTTTATTAACATGATTACAGTGATGCCAACATTGCTTAAAATGTCATTTCAGTTGTACATGATGAATGATGAATGAGAGCAGAATATAAGAAGACTGACTGACTGAGTTTGGTTTTTACGCCGCTTTTAGCACAATTCCAGCAACATCACAGCGGGGGACACCAGAAATGGGCTTCACACAATGTGCCCATGTGGGGATTCGAACCCGGGTCATCGGCGTGACGAGCCAATGCTTTAACCATCAGGCTACCCCACCGCCCCGAATATGAGAAGAGGACGTAATTGGTGAGGTTGTAGATAAGTACAAATTCCGTAAGAAGCAAATATCAGCATACAGCAGGTGATGAAGGCTACGCATCAGGAGTTTCCCACGATGAACACAACACATGGAGATCCTCCACTACTCCAGGACCTTGTGACTCCACAGATTTATCCAGGATCTTAAACCTCTGTGGTTGTCAAACTGAGAGGAAATACATCCTATCATGACTTTCAAAATGTCGAATCCGATCTCATATGCAATGCTATAATATAGCAAGTAACATTTCACTTGTAGAGGCTGAATAACGGTCTCTGTGAACAACTACATCTTGTATGAATGTGTTGAGGCTCAAAGACAAATATTGGACTCTGAGATTGCCCATAATTCCTGTACAGATGAACACGAATGAATGAGCAAGTAAGGCAGATCATTAACCATGATGTTCCATTGTATCATCACTTTCTAATTGCATGGTGAAGAAACCAAGCCAATATTACTTTATTGAACCTGTTCCGTCATCAGGGTTTAAAACACAAGCACTGTCAGTTGTTTTAATATCAGCATCTAAGCGAAGGATTGAACTTGGTGTAAGACTCAAAGGTCAACATTGATTGAACATGTTTTCAAAAGTACAATCACAAATCTTCAATTATATCTTCAAAACTTGCCGATGTTTTGTTGCTTTCAAACATTCCAAAGAATCTCTGTCATATCATCACTCGAGGATCTAGTTCACATTGGTGGTCGACCCTACAGCAGTTCCTCGATACTGCCCTCCACAATCACAATGGTGACGGCTTTCTGCTGATGTCGCCATCCTCCTGGTGACCAGGTTCTTGTCATGTGGTCACCTCCATCTTGATGACCGGCTTCTCATCGTGGTCGTCCCTCTTCATAATGTCATCCTTGAACTGCTGAATCAGCTCCTTGCTTTGTTTCAGTCTCTCGTTCAATTCGGAAATCTCGTACCGAATCTTGTTCTTAGCTGACAGAATGTTGGTCAGAGTTCTCTCCTTTTTCTCATCAACTGTAAAAAAAGTTGTAACAGTTCATATTATCAAAGCATATCAAGAAAATAATGATCATTTCACAAAATGTCATGCCAACAAATACTTCACAGAAGTACACCTACATCACAGTCTTCTCCAGCCAACTTCGTTAATACCACTTCTTTGGTTTCAGACACAAAAACCCACAACACAAGCTTACCGTGTACACTGATGATGTTCTGGTGCGAAAACTGTGTATTTTTACACAATGTGCGACAAGGAATATTTTTTAAAATGTGGCCAACCTACTTACAGTCAGTCTCGTGTTTGTACGTCCCCACTGGCATCAGACGAACATTATTCAGAAGCTGCTGTGTCATAGCCGTCGGATCATTGAATACCTGAAAATATCATGTTGCTGTGTTTGAGTGAGTTATTGAGAAGTTTTAGACATCTCATTCTGTGAGTAGGGAACATGTTTTAAATTCTGACATCACCTTATAGCAGGAGTGCCAGAAGTCAAGGATGTCAAACTTATGACACTTCAGTAGAGACCTACAATGAGTGAGTTTAGTTTTACCACTAGCCTAACCGACCACCCTAGAGACCTACAAGCACTAGTGTGTATTGGTACAGACAAACCAAGCATTACAATTGGGATCAATCTGGTGTTGAGCCAAAACTCAGCAGATCCAAAACACAAGAAAGGGATGCAACTCCACACAGCCTTTGAAACTGGGCTTTCATGCAATGTTACATTAGGATACAAAACAGTCATGGTTCATCTTCATTACTAGAAATAGTAGAAATATCTATGAAATCAGATATGAAATCTGAGTGTATCTCACCAGCTCATCATAGAACTCTGCCACCAAGGACTTCTTGCCCAGCATGATGTCAGTCTCACTCTGGAATAGCTTCAGCAGGTGGTACACAGTCACCTGCAACACAAATACAGCTTCAGTAGGTGGTACACAGTCACCTGCAACACAAATACAGCTTCAGTAGGTGGTACAGTCACCTGCAACACAAATACAGCTTCAGTAGGTGGTACACAGTCACCTGCAACACAAATACAGCTTCAGTAGGTGGTACACAGTCACCTGCAACACAAATACAGCTTCAGTAGGTAGCTTCAGCAGGTGGTACACAGTCAACTACAACAGATCAAGTACAACAATATCAATGGCTGGTTCTTAAAATGGCCATCATTACCCACCGGCCGTTCATTGGGGTCGTTGAAGTAGATCTTAATGACAACCTCAAACTCCCCCCATCCAGTCTCTGTCACTTCATAGGGAGGCTTCATCACCACTGGCAACAGAAAACATGAAATGAGTCACCTGTTTTAGTATTTAATCTACTGCTATAGAAATGTCCAACGTATTTCCAGTTGTGACGAGCCGGTCTAAACTGCGTGATACAAAACATGAAAATTGCAGCATTTCTGGATAATACTTTTGTCTACATGCATTGATGCAATGTGTGCATGACCTCAAAGTTTCTGAATTAACCCTTTTCTGCCCAAAGAACAACAAACATGTTAACATGTGTACGCTTTATCTACCATACTGCACCACCCCCTTGTTATCTACCATACTGCACCACCCCCTTGTTATCTACCATACTGCACCACCCCATTGTTACGTGTAATTCAGGGGTCACAATCTCGGACTCCACTTGAACACTATCTATGCATCTGTCACACATTCATAGGACCAAGGTGCAACCTGGTTTTGTCTGGTGCAGCTAGCTTTCCATTTCAGTGAATTATCAGTTTCCTTAAATCAAACAATGACAGGAAACCTTTGCTGTTAAATGTGGACACCAGCTGATGTCATGTACAGTCAAGTAATGACAGTGGAGTTACAGCAGTCATTTTATGTCTGCTTCAGACATCTGACTCACTCACCTCTGTTCTGGTTGGGGTAACTCTCATGCAGCTTGAAGTGTACCTTCTTCACATAAACTGACATGTCCTGTTGAGGAAAGGGAAACAAGTAGGATAGTAATGATCAGTCTGAGAACATGCAGCATTATCTAGCGACCTATACTATCCAGCTCCCTAAAATAGAGAAGGTCTCCTCAGCAATCATACAGATAGAGTGAGCAAATTTCAAAAATGGGATTTAAAGTATACAGCAATCAACAGGATATGATATGCATTTTCAATGGATTAGGCACTGCACCTAATACCGAACATGAGGGTTTCACAGGCATATTTTCACATCAGCATGATCAGCATTCACAACAATAACAAACACTGTACCTCATTCTTGTAGGGTTTCACATAGACAGTCCACTGGTGGGTGTGTCCATCCTCTTCACGTTTTTTACCAAAGTAGCGGGCGATGTTTCCGTAGACTATCGGTTTGACTAGAGTTACACCCTGCAGACAAAGTTATCAATAAAGACTGTGTATGTCAGATGGTGCTGCAATTTGTACAACATTCTGTTGTGTTTATGATATGTGCATGCAACGTATATATATATGCAATGAGCAGCAAGACACTGAATGTACGATACATGCTTGCAAATGTTGGACCTTACATTCATCATCAGATCATACATAGGTTTTCGGATGCCATACATTTTCGAATGGCAGTGCTCACTTGATATTGTGTACTTTGTATGGTGTCCTGTGCTTAGGAGCTTATCAGTTAGTGACATGTTTTACAATTTTTCATGTGATAATCAAGACAATACAGATGTTTGTTAAGTCTCTGAAAACACATGACATGCGGATACATTGTAATAATGCTGAAGGGCTTGTTGCCGACACGGGTACTACAGATATGTACGCTATACCCTAGCCAAAATTTGAATACAGATACCCTAATACAGGTGAATTCAGCTTTATTTTCTTGAACAAACTGACATTCTGTTGTATTAAATACATTTGATTGCGTTATAAGAAACAAGCATACACCAGTACACAGTAACAAATATTTCGTGATGCGCAACAGCACTCAAAATCAGTTGAACGGGAATGTCTACACAAGATTTCGGTTTTGGTCGGTGAGGTGAGGTGAAAATTGGTTTAACGTCGTGCTTGAGAATATTTCGCTCATATGACGACGTGCATGCGTGTGTATGTGTATGCGCGGCTGCTTGTACTAGCCCAGACTTAAGCTGGTTTTATAGTGCTAGCCCACTGGGATACCATGCCGCAGTGAAGCATGAATACCCCACTCAGACACAGTATACTGACTCTGAGCCGACCAGTCCTTGTTGTACCTATTAAAGCCGAGAGCCAGGCAGCGACCAACAAGTACCATATTTTAACGTCTTTTGGTATGATGCGGTCGGGGATCGAACCACTACACCACGGAGGCGGCCAGTTTTGGTTGGTTAATAAGAACGCGTCTGGGACCCTCATATGCCGTTTAGGGTATTGGGTACGTTTCTGTATTTTGTTTAGGGCACATTTTTGTATACAGAAACGCACATTGGGTACACATCTGTAGTACTTGTGCTGACAATGACCACTTTAGTCGAAATGGGTTGTAGTCAAAAGGGCCAAAACTGAAAAAGCCCAAAGGGCCAAAGAAAAGTCAGAAGGGCCATAGATCAAATTAAAAAAGACATACCCCGATAGCATTCGACGTTGGTCTAACGCTGGCAATGGTTGGCAACATTGTGGTCGATTTCATATGTTGGCCCGAAATTGGCCAACCCAACATCGCATCGCGGATATTTTATTCAAGGGACGCTATTCCAAATTGTTAGCTTTTCCCAGAGGAGGCTCAGATTCTTCGAGCAGATAACCGATTGCTCACAACCTTGGCCATTGGAGTACAGGTTTCTTCAAATATATAGGAGTAAGTGTTTCATTTTGTGTTTTTATTATGTTCAACTCTATTTCGGAACTGTGCCCACCTGAAAAACAGTCAAAGTTCATTCAGAAATACCAACGTGAATGATTATTTACTTGAAATTGAAAACATGCCATGCCTGTTAAATGACCATATCGCGGTTCTCGGCTAAGGAAATTCATGACTGAAGCCCAATAGGCACATGAACATGTGATCACACTGGTGGCTTTGAAAATGCAGCATTCCAGCAAGAGAAGAAAATCTAGCTTGTCAGTATCAATTAGTTGGTTGTGATCGAGAGTGTGTCTAAGTTTAAAGTTACAAGTCGGCGAGTGACCCTCGCCTGCTCGCTATATCGCGCGTAAATACGATGTAGTAGTGTGGATCTAACTTCTAAATAATATACAGTCCGATGATCACGAGCCGTCCATCCATCTACATGACCACCGAATGTTCCCGATAGTGGCATTTGTTATATGATGGTTGATTGTGGCAAAGGTAAAAATTATTACAGTTACAGTAGCAGTCTCCATGTACTCGACGTGCAGAGCTTCACTGGTTGGGCGTGTTTTACAGACTGGTGCCAATTATATTCGAGTCGCCAGTTATATTCGGAGTCGGACACCTCACGTAATTTTCATAGGCTAACATGTTATTTCAGTGCAGCATACATAATTTTCATGAAGTTAGTTGAGGATGGATCTTTGTAAAATTTGACACTCGGACAAGCAAATGTGAAATCAGCTTGGCTCTGCGCACATTATTTCACTTCAATTTTCGACCACTATTTAACTGATGACATCACATTTATCAACTTTCGTATGGTTCCACAATGCACAATCGCATAGGCCGCCATGTCAAAGGAGTTCACGGCACTGTACATATGTTTATTTAATTGCTGCCATTCGATAAATAAGCAGCAGAAAATTAAACAGATATTATGTGATCATTGGTAAGACGATTCCTCACAAATGTGCAAAATTTGACTTGCATCTTACAAAAATTAAATCAATGAAAATTATTTATGCTACACTGAATTAACATGTATGTCTATGGAAACAAAGTCGCTACTTATGCAAACATATATAGTTGATATGACTGCATTGTTTTTTCGACATTTTCTGATATCATCTAAGCTATCCTATTTTACAAATTTCTCTAACATCTGAATAATTACAAAACATTTTTGCATTTATTCTATATTTGAATTACCAGTTTTAATAGAATGTAAGATACAATAGAAAGGCAAATTTACTGCTTTACAGTAATCACCATATCTACTTAAACTGACACCAGTTACATCATTCTTTTAAGAAATGGGGTTAATCTACATTGGTTAAAGTAAGAAAGTTATAGCTTGTGGTTTCTATGCAGGCTATGTTTACAGTTTGTGGCAGCATATTTACATGAATACAGAACATGAAGCAGTGGTGATTCCAACTGCTGTAACAATGGAAAAAATGGACACATCTTCCAGAATGAAAATATCTCAATAAAAACGGAATTTTAAAACTTGATATATCCAAATCATTTAAGTATTTTTCTCCTGTGATTCAGTGACACCAGATATCCAGTGTTCACAAATCAGGTTTCAAAGAAACAGGACATTGGGTCCTGTAAGTTTCAGATGTCTGTCTGACCCACTGAAAATTCTCAGGACCCATAGAATAAAAGTAAACACACATTTCAGATTTAGCATTTCTTATAATTGGCACTGAAATTATAAACAAACATAAGATTTATAAACAGAGGCCAAGGCACAAGCACAGACCTTGTTTACAGATGAAGATCTCCTGTGATTATTTCTTTCTCCTCCTCATTTGATAACTAAAAATATAAGGATGCGCTGCCACTCAGTCCAAGTCCTGACTTGTAATTTAAGAAATATATTAAGATCATCTAAACCAGAATTACCTTTTGTTCATTTTGTTTTGTTCATTTAACTGATCAAGAAAATGGGTTGTGGGGCATCAGATGCAGAGACTATTTGCAGCCCTCACTCTTGCCCATGGTGTTAAATGTCTGGGGTAAGGCCAAGAAATATGTTAATGTTTTTAATCATTGTGTTGGGCTTTTTTCCAGGGCCTGTTGCCTAATGGTTATCTATTTAAGAATCAACTATTTTTTAATATCGTTTGTGATATATATAGACTTGAAAATTGTTTGGAAATATGCATAATATTTTAACTAATTGTATTCAGAAACACTTTAAATTTTCTAGAGCCTACATAAAGCTGTCCAGAGGTGTCCAGCAAAGACAGAGAGAGTGAATTCAACTTGAAGAATGTATTGCTTGCTATGTGATAGTATTGTGAGATTTGTACAAACATTTCAGGGTAGGTTAGAGGTATTGAGGAATGACACAGACGTTGATCAAAACTTGGGCCAACGTCAGTGGTGATGTTGGGCCAACGTCAGAAATCTATCTGGGTACAAACTAATATATATTTTGTTTGTTTTATTATATTTGTAACAAACACTTAACCACTACTGTTAATCTTGTTTAGATTTGTGACTAGTGTAATTGTCTCCAGTGACTCTGTTTAAACCTCTTGTATCACGGGACGCTCTATTATCGCGGTAGTTAATGTTGTCGCCATCGGGATTATGAACGGCTACTGACATTTAGCATTTTAGTTGACTGTTCAGCATGTTCAGTTGACTGATGTTTAATCTTCATTTCTGTCACAAATAATGTGACACATAGCCGCAACTCGTTTAATCCACTGTGGCAATTTCGATTGTCTCGTTTGACCTGGAAATTGAAGCAACTCTCTATTATCGCGGTATTGCTATTTTCTTACTATGGCACGCGGTACAAGCAGATGACACTGTGAAAGGCTTACTAAGACAAGTAACGAATCTAAATAGTTTGATCATTAAATAAAATTTAGGAATTTCATTCACTTTAATAATATCATCATGTTTTTAAACCAAACATCTAAAACTTCTATTCATTTGGATACAAGGTAACAACGTTACAAGATATTGTTTTTCAGTCTTAAAACGTACCATACAAGTTGCTGCCGTGTGTAGAGTGAAGTTGCATAATATGCCACTTCCTGTTATATTTTTAGCACGGAAAATATGCAAATGACCTTATAGTTGTCGCAGGATTACTCTTGTCGAAGTAAGTTTTGATTCATGCTAGATGTAATGGCAGTAGGGGTCATACTAGTTTCAAAATGTTCTAGAACTTAATGAAGAGATGAATGCTTTACTATTTCTACGGTTAGACATGACATTCCAAATGAAATAAATGACTTTTTCAAGAGCGATGAATATATTTACGTAATTTGCATATGTAAACAGCCGATGCAGGGCGTGGTGTTTTTGCTTTCCCGATGTTTTTGCGTGCCGCGATAACAGAGAGTCCGCGATAATAGCGAGTCCCAGTATAATCATTACACAAACAGTTGCATGGTTGACTATACTCCTAAAATAAACACTGAACCACTCGGAGACACTCTAAGATGTTTAGGATGTTAAGAACTCGAGGGAGTACTGCACTTTACCGGGGGCACTGTTTCAGATTAATTACCGTTGCTGGGGTTCCCTAACCCTAACCCCTAACCCTAAGGATCGTAAAGGGTGCCTAACCCTAAGGATCGTTAAGGGTGCCATACCCTAACCCTAAACCCTAACCCTAAGGATCGTAAAGGGAGCAGCGAGGGCTGCGCCCGGTAAAGTGCATTCTAGCCGAACAAGATGTAATAAATTTCTTCTAATCTTACTATTTTCTAAAAGTTTGGCCCTTTTGACTTTTCTTTTGCCCTTTTGAAGTTTTCAATTTTGGCCCTTTTGACATGTTCCCGTCGAAATAACCAATCACATTATTTCCATCAAGTTCACGGACAGGATATGCATAAGTCATGGTTCAACACACATACTGGCATAGCCATATAAAACCACAACAGAAATTGGCGCCAACAACAGGAAGTTGGGTGGACTATAACGAACTTATGTTCATTTGTTCCAAAGGCCACCTCACCTTTATTCTTCCTCCAGAATCTGGTCCAAAGTCAGCCATAGCACTCTTCGATATGACACGATAATCAATGCCCTACAGACAGAATGGAAACATCTACTTCCTGACAATTATTGGTCAGGAATAAGACAACGGTTTTCCGATATCACACAATGTTCACTGTTTACAAACTTACACTCTCGGAAGTCCCGCGATACATTGGTAGAGTTACCTCCCTTTAACATCGGACGAACCAAATATTGTTCTCGGAGAAGATTCCGGAATATGCTGTGCCGTTATACTGAATTCATACCTGTACGTGTACAGAACTTCAACACAAACTGAAAATTATACATATATTAGTATCTTATGATATAAACTGTTTTAATAGAAAAATCAACAAAATATCCCAAATCAAACAAACTGAAAACAAAACTCAAAATGATCACGAAACATGTAACAGAAATATCGCTGTGAAACATAAATATGCTTTCAATCATCAATATAAACGTTTTGTGACGATTATGGACTGTAAACAAAAATAACCCATGCCACATCTCAGACAAAAGCGACGACTAAGCATTAATCTGAAACACCTAGCTGTCAAAACACAAAGCCACGTGACACATGTCGCAGCGAAATTCCCGTGCTGCGCGTGATGCCATAAATAGAAAACATTTAAAGGGTCATACTCAGGAATTGAGTTACTGAATCAGTTAAAATTAAAATATCAGCAATAGTTCAGCCATATCGTGACGAAAACAAGTCATCTCAGAAATTGTCTGAATTTCCGTTCTTCAGCAGTCAGCGCATAATAACATATTATTCCATAAAACTTTAATTCAACTTTGCAAAATCGGACGCAACTAACGCTATCTTTATCTCTCTACACCCCCTAACATGACCTATACCGGGCAATATCGATCCGTGGTGTAGCGGTCACAGCGTCCGCCCGGAGAGCGGAAGGTCGCGGGTTAGATCCCCGACCGTGTCAAACCAAAAGTCGTTAAAATATGGTTCTTGTTGGTCCCTGCCTGGCGCTCGGCATTAATGGGTACAACAAGGACTGGTCAGCTCGGAGTCGGTATAATGTGTCTGAGTTTGGTATTCATGCTTCACTGCAGCATGTTATCTCAGTGGGCTAGCACAATATTTAAAACCAGCTTCAGTCTGGGCTAGTACAAGCAGCTGCACATACACATACACATGCATGCACGTCGCCATATGAGCGAAATATTCTCAAGCACGACGTTAAACCCGATTTCACCTCACCTCACCTACATCCCCTAACATGACAATTACTGGACAATATCGATCATTGTCGATCTTCATCCCCTTAAATGACCTATATCGGGCAATATCGATCATTGTCCCTCTACATCCCCTAACATGACAATTACTGGGCAATATCGATCATTAGCCCTCTACATCCCCTAACATGACAATTACTGGGCAATATCGATCATTGTCGATCTACATCCCCTTACATGACCTATATTGGGCAATATCGATCATTGTCGATCTACATCCCCTAACATGGCAATTACTGGGCAATATCGATCATTGTCGATCTACATCCCCTAACATGACAATTACTGGGCAATATCGATCATTGTCCCTCTACATCCCCTAACATGACAATTACTGGGCAATATCCATCATTGTCGATCTACATCCCCTAACATGACAATTACTGGGCAATATCGATCATTGTCCCTCTACATCCCCTAACATGACAATTACTGGGCAATATCGATCATTGTCGATCTACATCTCCTTACATGACTTATATTGGGCAATATCGATCATTGTCGATCTACATCCCCTAACATGGCAATTACTGGGCAATATCGATCATTGTCGATCTACATCCCCTAACATGACAATTACTGGGCAATATCGATCATTGTCCCTCTACATCCCCTAACATGACAATTACTGGGCAAGATCGATCATTGTCGATCTACATCCCCTTAAATGACCTATATTGGGCAATATCGATCATTGTCGATCTACATCCCCTAACATGGCAATTACTGGGCAATATCGATCATTGTCGATCTACATCCCCTAACATGACAATTACTGGGCAATATCGATCATTGTCCCTCTACATCCCCTAACATGACAATTACTGGGCAATATCCATCATTGTCGATCTACATCCCCTAACATGACAATTACTGGGCAATATCGATCATTGTCCCTCTACATCCCCTAACATGACAATTACTGGGCAATATCGATCATTGTCGATCTACATCCCCTTACATGACCTATATTGGGCAATATCGACCATTGTCCCTCTACATCCCCTAACATGGCAATTACTGAGCAATATCGACCATTGTCGATCTACATCCCCTAACATGACAATTACTGGGCAATATCCATCATTGTCGCTCTACATCCCCTAACATGACAATTACTGGGCAATATCCATCATTGTCGATCTACATCCCCTAACATGACAATTACTGGGCAATATCGATCATTGTCGATCTACACGCCTTAACAGGACCTGTCCCGGTCTTTGAAGTTTGTGCTATCATTGCCCCTTAACATCCCAAAACAGAACCCGCCCTGGATGCTATCATTGCCCCCCTACATCCCCTTATACAACCCGTCCTGGACGCTATCATTGCCCCCCTACATCCCCTTATACAACCCGTCCTGGACGCTATCATTGCCCCTCTACATCCCTAACAGAACCTATCGTCCTGGACGCTATCATTGCCCCTCTACATCCCCTAACAGAACCTATCCTGGACGCTATCATTGCCCCTCTACATCCCCTAACAGAACCTATCCTGGACGCTATCATTGTCCCTCTACATCCCCTAACAGAACCTATCCTGGACGATATCATTGTCACTCTACATCCCCTAACAGAACCTGTCCTGGACGATATCATTGTCACTCTACATCCCCTAACAGAACCTATCCTGGATGCTATCATTGTCACTCTACATCCCCTAACAGAACCTATCCTGGATGCTATCATTGCCCCTCTACATCCCCTAACAGAACCCGTCCTGGACGCTATCATTGCCCCTCTACATCCCCTAACAGAACCTATCCTGGACGCTATCATTGCCCCTCTACATCCCCCTAACAGAACCCGTCCTGGACGCTATCATTGTCACTCTACATCCCCTAACAGAACCTATCCTGGACGATATCATTGTCACTCTACATCCCCTAACAGAACCTATCCTGGACGCTATCATTGTCACTCTACATCACCTAACAGAACCTATCCTGGATGCTATCATTGTCACTCTACATCCCCTAACAGAATCCGTCCTGGACGCTATCATTGTCACTCTACATCCCCTAACAGAAGCCGTCCTGGACGCTATCATTGTCACTCTACATCCCCTAACAGAAGCCGTCCTGGACGCTATCATTGTCCCTCTGCATCCCCTAACAGAACCCGTCCTGGACGCTATCATTGTCCTCTACATCACCTAACAGAAGCCGTCCTGGACGCTATCATTGTCCTCTGCATCCCCTAACAGAAACCCATCCCTAACAGATTGCCTACATCCCCTGGATCCGTCCGCTATCATTGTCACTCTGCATCCCCTAACAGAACCCGTCCTGGACGCTATCATCCCTCTGCATTGTCCTCTACATCCCCTAACAGAACCCGTCCTGGACGCTATCATTGTCCCTCTACATCCCCTAACAGAAGCCGTCCTGGACGCTATCATTGCCCCTCTGCATCCCCTAACAGAACCCGTCCTGGACGCTATCATTGTCCCTCTACATCCCCTAACAGAATCCGTCCTGGACGCTATCATTGTCCCTCTACATCCCCTAACAGAACCCGTCCTGGACGCTATCATTGTCACTCTACATCCCCTAACAGAACCCGTCCTGGACGCTATCATTGTCCCTCTGCATCCCCTAACAGAATCCGTCCTGGACGCTATCATTGTCCCTCTGCATCCCCTAACAGAATCCGTGTCCTGGACGCTATCATTGTCCCTCTACATCCCCTAACAGAACCCGTCCTGGACGCTATCATTGTCACTCTACATCCCTAACAGAACCGTCCTGGATGCTATCATTGTCCCTCTGCATCCCCTAACAGAACCCGTCCTGGACGCTATCATTGTCCCTCTACATCCCCTAACAGAACCCGTCCTGGACGCTATCATTGTCCCTCTACATCCCCTAACAGAATCCGTCCTGGACGCTATCATTGTCACTCTACATCCCCTAACAGAATCCGTCCTGGACGCTATCATTGTCACTCTACATCACCTAACAGAACCTATCCTGGATGCTATCATTGTCACTCTACATCCCCTAACAGAACCCGTCCTGGACGCTATCATTGTCCCTCTACATCCCCTAACAGAATCCGTCCTGGACGCTATCATTTGTCCCTCTACATCCCCTAACAGAATCCGTCCTGGACGCTATCATTGCCCTCTACATCCCCTAACAGAATCCGTCCTGGACGCTATCATTGTCACTCTACATCCCCTAACAGAACCTATCCTGGACGCTATCATTGTCCCTCTACATCCCCTAACAGAACCCGTCCTGGACGCTATCATTGTCACTCTACATCCCCTAACAGAACCTATCCTGGATGCTATCATTGTCACTCTACATCACCTAACAGAACCTATCCTGGACGCTATCATTGTCACCCTCTGGACATCCCCTAACAGAACCCGTCCTGGACGCTATCATTGCCCCTCTACATCCCCTAACAGAACCCGTCCTGGACGCTATCATTGTCACTCTACATCCCCTAACAGAACCCGTCCTGGACGCTATCATTGTCACTCTACATCCCCTAACAGAACCTATCCTGGATGCTATCATTGTCACTCTACATCCCCTAACAGAACCCGTCCTGGACGCTATCATTGTCACTCTACATCCCCTAACAGAACCTATCCTGGACGCTATCATTGTCCCTCTACATCCCCTAACAGAACCCGTCCTGGACGCTATCATTGCCCCTCTACATCCCCTAACAGAACCTATCCTGGACGATATCTCTGTCCCTCTACATCCCCTAACAGAACCTATCCTGGACGCTATCATTGTGCCCTCTACATCCCCTAACAGAACCTATCCTGGACGCTATCATTTGCCCCTCTACATCCCCTAACAGAACCCGTCCTGGACGCTATCATTATCCTGGACGCTATCTGCCCTCTACATCCCTAACAGAACCCGTCCTGGACGCTATCATTGCCCTCTACATCCCCTAACAGAACCCGTCCTGGACGCTATCATTGCCCCTCTACATCCCCTAACAGAACCTATCCTGGACGCTATCATTGTCCCTCTACATCCCCTAACAGAACCTATCCTGGACGCTATCATTGTCCCTCTACATCCCCTAACAGAACCTATCCTGGACGCTATCATTGCCCCTCTACATCCCCTAACAGAACCTATCCTGGACGCTATCATTGCCCCTCTACATCCCCTAACAGAACCTATCCTGGACGATATCATTGCCCCTCTACATCCCCTAACAGAACCTACCCTGGACGATATCTCTGCCCCTCTACATCCCCTAACAGAACCTATCCTGGACGCTATCATTGCCCCTCTACATCCCCTAACATTATATTGCAATATACACGTCGAACCACGGCTACAAACATGCCTTTCAGCCAGCACACAGCGGTAGTACGCATGTACCATGCATCTATATTAAGCGCATGTACCATGCATCTATATTTAGCGACAACTAATGTTGACATGTTTTGTGCCGTAGACTGCTGTAACTGTACCTCCGCGAGCAGGAGGCCTTACTTTCACATCTCAGTGAGTACCTCATCAGGGTTCGAATGATCCTTTCCTCAATGATTATTTGTCTGTTTAGAAATCGCCAGCTTTTTTATTCCCCTGCTATTCATAAACCATTCTTTCCGACCACTGTAATACTCGGTGTTGGGCCTATATTTATATTTGTAAGTACATACATGTATGCGAGCTTTTTGTGAACTTCTACTAAGAAATATGCTGTACGATTCATTTCATAAATGTTCTGTTGCAATTTGTAGGCATCAATGTCAATATTTTCAAAAAAGACACGGACAATGGGGGTTTAATACCACAGGCTTGTATGTTTTCAAAGCTTGGCTGAGTGGTCGTCTTATATTTCACTTGCTGACTTTGTCGGGATATACCACTTGATATACCAGGAAGTGAAATGTTTAAATTAACAAGATGCTGCTGCTTCACAAAGCTGCCGTAGCGCTACGACTGTCGTAAGTCTATGTTACAGTGCAGGAGGTACGACAGTCGTAAGTCTATGTTACAGTATAGGAGGTACGACAGTCGTAAGTCTATGTTACAGTACAGGAGGTACGACAGTCGTAGCTCCTCGAAGCTTTGTGAAACGGGGCCGTAGGTTTCTATGTCTGTTATATGTTACAGTCAGAATGTGAATCAGTCATTTCGCAAAATGACCTAACATTTCAGTCATTTCGTGAAATGACTAAGAGGGTCAGCCATTTCGCGATATGACTGAAATTTCCAGTCATTTCATGAAATGACTGATTTAGAGGTCTTGCACCAAGGTGACTGACATGGTGTTGTAAGAAAACATGACTAGCAACAGACAAGAAGTATTTGATAACAAGCTTTATAGACTAATAATTTTCAAAATTACATGTTATGTCACATAATTAACTTACTCTACAAAAGCGGATCACAATTTCAACATGAACTGGTAAAACTATTGTGGCAAGATCAATTACCTCTCGATGGATCTCAGGCATAGCTCACACATTACGTAATAAATGTTGTACGGGAAAAGGGTGTGATTTGCGCGTTAGGACCAGGGTTGTAACGTTCGGTTTACACATACAGTAAAGTTCAAAGGTTGCATGAAAATGACATGCAAAGCTTTTTTCAGAACATCTGGATTTTTCCCAGGTCAACAAATCTACTACATGGAATGGGTCGTCATGAAAGCCTGCCTACCTGTAATTGGGTTTTAATCATTTCTAACTGCTCATTTTTCTTTCACCTTCCAACGATGTGTGTGACTGAGTTTAGTGTTAGTTTTACGCCACACTCAACAATGTTCTAGCTATATGGCGGCGGTCTGTAAATAATCGAGTCTGGGCCAGACAATCCAGTGATCAACAGCATGGGCATCGATCTACGCAATTGGGAACCGATGACATGTGTCAACCAAGTCAGCGAGCCTGACCACTTGATCCCATTAGTCACCTGTGAACTAGTGAGAGGTAACAATTAAAGCCACACCACAGTATTTTAACCGTATAGTGACGAGAAGAGTATACTACGCATAAATAATAGTGAAAGATAAGCAAAATATCACAAAATTCGAGTCTAAAAACTATCTATTTCAAATTTTAAATGCTCTACTCAACACATACCTTGGGAAGTCACGAAGTCAATTTTCATCCATATCTGAAAGGCAAGGTCCCATATCACGAGCAATGCCTTTGTTGCTTTTCTGTGTCCTGTGGGGAGAAACCTCAACAGTAACATTTACTAATCATCGTATTTGAGCAAAATCTGGGATTGCATTTGTTTCCTGCACTCACGTAGCAGGGAACCAGATCGCAGCCTTTAAATATCTTCCTCCTCGCCGGCCAAACCCTCAATGTCCTTTGCTACGGCAACTGGATTCAATCCAATCATCGTGGTTGGTGACATTTCCTTGAGCTTCATAAAGAAATGAAGAAATGAATCGTCAGATTCGTGGGTTGCCATGGTAGAAATATATAAACTCTGTCAAAAAAAGAAACGCAACCCCTGTCCTCAGATATGAAAAATTCGTTTGAATGAAGTTATTGCTTCCAAACTAAATTTTATTCGAATGTATTGAAATTATACACGTAATTAATGAAGATTACCATCCAAACAACTGCATTTGTACGCATAAGTGTATTTTATTGCTTATTCCGTCACAACGCATGAAATGACCCTCATGGTGACTTCGCACAAAAAAACCACATGCAAATCATGAAAATGGCAGTTAATGTAGGGGTGTATAAAAGCCCATGTGCTTTCGTATTATATTCATTCATTTGTCGCCGAAAAGCTGTGTTAAAAATGCCACGATTGAGTGCTGCCGACCGAAATATCGCCATTGGTCGTGTTCAAGCCGGAGAAAGTTTTGGAACTGTTGCACGGCACCTAAATGTTCACAAAACAACGATATCCCGACTTTGTAGCCGCTACAACAACTTCAATTTGACCAACGATCGCCCGAGAAGTGGAAGGCCAAGAATCACGACCGCCCTTCAAGATCGGTACATCCGGGTCCATCACCTGCGTAATCGGCATGCCCTACCAACCGTGACTGCCACACAAATACCAGGTTTGAGGAGAGTGTCAGCTCAAACGATTAGGAACCGCCTGAAAGAAGCGGGTTTACGTGCCTGTAGACCAGTTGTTGGACCTGTACTACGCCCCCTACATCGACGCCGACGACTCAGGTGGTGCAACAACGTAAGGATACGGACTTTACAAAACTGGAGGCGAATCTGGTTTTCTGATGAATCACGTTTTCTTTTGCAACGTCACGACGGAAGACAGCGTCTGTATAGGAGACGTCATAAACGTTTTGCGCCCATCTGCGTCCGACAGGTGGACAGATTTGGCGGAGAAAGCGTCATGGTTTGGGGAACCATCTCATACAACCAGAAATCAGACTTGGTGATCGTTCCAGGGAACCTGACAGCCCAACGTTACATCAACCACGTGTTAGAGCTTCACCTTCTCCCGATTATTGACCAACAGACACAGATTTTTCAACCAGACAACGCCCGGCCTCATACTGCACGTGCAACAATGAACTTTCTGCAGAATTCCAACGTCAATGTCTTGCCATGGCCTTCTAAATCACCAGACCTCAACCCTATTGAACACCTGTGGGATACTCTGGATCGACGCGTACGTCAACGTCAGCCGCCGCCACAGACGCTGCAACAGCTCGCCGTTGCACTGCAGGAGGAGTGGAGAGCCATTCCCCAGGAAAGAATCCGGCGTCTTATCCGTTCTTGTCCAAGGAGATGCCGTGCAGTGATTGCAGCGCGTGGTGCTCATACGAGATACTGAGAAAGACGCCCCCCTGGTGACAAACTGGTGTCTGTGAGATGACTTTTGAAATGACAATTTTAAACATGCCCATCTGGGTTATTATTCTGCCAAATTTCAGACTTCTGTCTTAAATAATAAAAATGCCGTGTCGTCCTAAAACTTCAGATCAAAATCTCTAAAATACAGGGGTTGCGTTTCTTTTTTGACAGAGTTTATATTTCACCCTCCAACCATGGGATGTAATCAAGGAATCATGTCTGTTGATCTCCAGCAGACGACACCAAGGATACTATGAGGTTGTACTCAAGCAGGAAAATACCGGACTGGCCCAAGAGCCAGAGGACTCTGTACAAATTAAGAAAACAGTAATTACGTTTTCAACAAACCTTTATGGCCAAGACTTAAGTATATATTGAAAAAATATTGTGCAAACTACTTGCCATGCACAGGGTTTGACTAGCCGATTGATTGAACCTGGTCCATTCTGCCACCTGTGGTGTGAGCAAAATACCCAGACCATTTGTTAGCGAGTTGGGAACATGTCATAGTATTGAGGTATGAGATTGGATAGCGGATCAAGGTAAAATGGCCACACGGGGCAAAGGTGAAATTCATCCTCGACAACTGGTACCATACAAAAAGAGCAAACACGTTAATTTCGTGGAATGTTATAATATCGGCCCGTATCTTTTAGAAGACTGTGATTAGATCCAAGAACATTTAAATATTTAATCGAATTAATGTAACATCGATAAATCGAACCCAGTTATGATATTGAAATGATCTTTTATAGCAAAGAACAGTTCAAGTTTGCAGCAAGACTGAATATGTTCATGACAGATTTGATTCTCAATGTCTACACATCTTTGCCTAAACTGATGTAAGAATAAATCAGCCCATCCAACACTCTGTTCAATCCAAACCTCTTCGAATCTGTAAGAAAATAACAATGATTTAACCTTGAGTGTCCAGCAAGCACTACCATTCTCTGCCCACTTTTATATTGAAAGGTGTAAGCTTTCTTCAATATCAAGTTGTTTTCTTGAGTTAATAATATAAGCCAATGCTTGAATACTTGTAATTGGACGCTTTGACAGCATTTCTACATTTTACAAAATTATTTGGAGTATTACTATTCAATCCAAGAGTTAATTTAGTAAAGACTTTAGTGTGTATATTTTCGATATCAGGCGATGAATAAAACCCCCAAACTTCAGATCCATGTCAAAATTGGTAACACCTTCAAATAAAAAACTTTGAAAACAAACATCTTGAGGCAGAGATGTAAATTTACCCAACCTCGACTGGAGTACATGTATTTGAATAACCTTCCAAGCTTGTTAACTGGACACCAAGATATTTATAATTAGATACTGTTGTAACATCATCATTACCAATTTGAAACATTTCCTGATGTCTAAGCTTCCCACCATTTCTAAACACTACAACACTACTTTTATCCATATTAATAGTAAGCTTCCTTTTATCACAATATGCAGACAACTTGTCAAGACGCTTTTGTAGACCAACAACAGACACGTCGATTAAGATGATATCATCTGCAAACAGCAAGATAAACAATTCTAAAGCATGTAATGTAACACCATTGGCTTGACGCACGCCATCTCATCAAATGAAGATTGAAAGAGAAATGGTGACAACTAACATCCCTGTCTAACGCCTGAGAGATACTCGAAGAAATCTGTAAGACCACAATCTAACGAGACACAAGATTTGACAGACCTGTGCATGTCCTTAAGAACTCGAAATATTCGTCCCTTGACAACACCTTTCCATAGTTGCAAAACTAAACAACTTCTAGAGTCAAATCTCCCTTTACATTGTTAAAAGCACAGTATAGCCGACCTCTCTTATAGAAAAGATATTTATTGATCAATGTGTCAACAACAAAAATGTTATCCGTAGTCTAAAAGCCCTTTCTAAAGCCATATTGTTCACCAACTATACAACTTTCTTGAATTAAATGTACCAGTTACAAACATGTCGTCCCATGCAAACACCTCTGTGAGCTGAGCCAAGTGTCATCGTGGTTATACATTCGGCTTTGGAATTGACTTTCTACTGGCTTTGTTGTAAGTGTTGGTGACCTCGTGTCATCAATTGTTTGTGATTCATTCCTGAAAGTGTGAAAGCCTGCAGTTTGGCAGATATTTATTATGATTATCGAAAAGATTTTGTCGCTTTTGTTAATTGCTGAACATTAGAGATATTGTCATTATGATTACAGTCATGTGACACCATTGCCTTATCATGGGGCGCCTCCGTGGTGTAGTGGTTAGACCGTCCGCCTAGAGAACGGAAGTTCGCGGGTTCGATCCCCGACCGCGTCATACCAAAAGACGTTAAAATATGGTACTTGTTGGTCCTAGCCTGGCGCTCGGCATTAATGGGTACAAGGACTGGTCGGCTCCGAGTCAGTGTAATGTGTCTGAGTGGGGTATTTATGCTTCACTGCGGCACGGTATCTCAGTGAGCTGGCACTATAAAACCTGCAGGTACAAGCAACAACACATACACACGTCGTCGTCGACAATTACGTCGTTAACCCCATTTCACGTCACCTCTCCTTATCATGGCGTAACCATGTCCAACCAAACATGAATCATAAACACTGTTTGAACTTTTGCTATGCCCTATATCTTGTACAAAAACCTTTTATAATGAGAGAGGCGGTAGGTACAGAGTAGCGACCTCATTTCTAACCGAGACTATTGTGGCGATCCTATTTTGCATTGCTACGACTGCGTCGTCAGTATTTGTGCTATTATTTAGACACTTGGGGGCGGTGGGGTAACCAAGTGGTTAAAGCGTTGGCTCGTTACGCCGAAGACCCGGTTTCGATTCCCCATATGGGTACAATGTGTGAAGCCCACTTCTTGGTGTTCCCCGCCGTGATATTGCTGGAATATTGCTAAAAGTGGCGTAAAACCATACTCACTCACTCACTACTTAGACACTAAACTAACACTAACACTGAAACTCTTGTTAGCGTTACCTACTCTGTAAAAACGAATGGAAGCAGCGATTGTTTTAGTCTGTCTCACATTCTCTGAACCACACTGTTTCCCCTCTCGCCCAGCCCATTCTATAATGGTAAAGCCCTAAATGAAGCAAGTCTAGATTTTCCTCTTGTGCTTACACGGGACGTGAACCAACGACATCGGCTGTATTCCTGAGACCCGCTCGCGTGTCAAAACCGTTGTTCTTGGTTGTGTTTTTACGAATTCCAGCCCTCAAGTACACTTCAAACACCTGTAATTATTTAACCAGTCGTCCGATTTTGACTAAGCCGAGAGTACAATCCAACTGCAGCAATATAATTGCCTTTAGCTTGTAAGGTTCTGAACAGAGCACACTGAACGTTCGCAATGTGTATCTACATAGAGGATAATTATTTTTTCTGTGATGAAAACTAAAAGTATCACCGCTTGGTGGTTATAGATAGTTTTTATCCTTTATTCTTGAAAGCTATTGCAGAAAACTGAAGGAAGCGTCCAGAGAATATAACAATAACCCCATCCATCGGCTTCCCACAGACCACAGAACAATGTGCTTGTTATACTTGTTCCTATATGTTGGTGGAAAAGTACTCATTTCCTGAAAACAATCATCTGTGCTTATAATATAACTGTACAGTCATTGGATTATTTAAGAAATGCTTTGAACTATGACCCCCATGGACATAGGCGTGTTGGGGGACTGTATCTAGCATTTTTAGCCATTTCAAATACTATGGTTATTTCATATCAAATGCTTGTATCACTATCCTCTCTGTGAGTCTATGCTATTTTAAACCTGTTCAATTCAATGCAATACGTCGATGAAATCGGGTAATACAGAGAAATTGAAAGTGGATCTGTGGAAAAGTGAATCCCTACACCATATGTTACCAGTTACCACATTACGTCAGTGTATACAATGGAGTTATTTTACCAAACCATAAATATAAATGCTAATTTCTGTCAATGTGGTAATAATGCATCTCAATTTGACCGAGAATTTAGAAGGGAAGGACTTGTGGACATAAAAGTAACTTTTGCTAGGCCATACCCTTATGTTTAAAGCTTAATGAGACCACATGAGCCTTGGAGTGAAGAGCTTCCGCATTGGAGAAAACAAAACGATGTGAACCCAGAATTTCACACAGCAGAAATTTCTGTGATCATCTTGATTTAGCACAGAAAGTTTTCAAATACATACCCTTGATATCCGGAATAATACATGTTTCTAAGGCATGAAAACATTTGAACATTTACAAATTTACGAAAGTTTCTCCACCTAAATAAATAGCCATATATCCGACCCTAGTAAATTCGGAAAGAACGGGAACTTCAGGACCTGTTACAATTGAAAGAAATGTGTTTGAAATACTCTATGATCAAGCATTTCCTGACGTATCGACATTTCTGTAAATCCGGTCATATGATTTGTGAAAAGGTGTTCTGTATAAAAAAATATACGATACACATATGGTTCAGAAATAAGCTTCAGTGTAAGAGAAAGTCCAATATAGTTCGATTAGTGAGGCTTCAAGAACAAAACTACTCGACGGCGTGAGGACTTTCTCCAACTTAAAACGAAGTCAACATTGAATTCGTCTGCTATATATTATATGTTCCATTGGGTGTAATCGACTGTTGTTGTATCCTTCTGTCCGAGTCTTTCACAACTACATCTAACTAGCCGAGTTAGATATGAGACAAAATAAAACAAGACATGTGATGAAGTCAATTTTCATTCTTTATTAAAAGCTAATGGAATAAGCATTCAGTCTGTTGAAGACAAAATCTAGACTTGATTACTTACAGACCGCCGCTATATAGCTGGAATATTGTCGAGTGCGACGTAAACAAACCAGCTTTACCACACAAATCTACTGCAGTTGCTTGCTTGTAAATTGATCCCGAAGTATTGTTACACCATTTTGATCCACCTCTTTCAGTGCCAAGCTATTGTCGAGCCTCTGGGTCCACAGTTGACATCTCTCCTACTGTTTTTGAAGGTTTGGTGCCATCCATAACAACCTCGAACAGAACAAACAATGACACATTCTGACTCAAGGTTTGTGTTTTTAGAATTTCTTAAAATTCTTTGAATTCATCTCAAATACGAATGGTGAAACCTTGAATGATTTCATAAAGTCGGCGACCTTATAATAATGTCTAAAAGGCTTTTCACAATTACAACGTGAATGTGAAAGTTTGATAGATTACATCTCTACATCCTACTTTGATATGATTGTGCTCAAAGCATTTATGTCAAATGGCAGCGTCTTTACGTAATACCCCGTAGTGTGTCCTACATATCACCTGCATGTTATTGCGTTGATGAGAGTATGCTTATAATCCAGCTTCCCTCATCTCAGCTGAGTGTTACGATTTGACAATCGCTCCTCAGAACATCGTGAACCAATCAACAGGAAGGAAATGTGGATTCGTAAATTTGCATTCGATGATAGTGACTTTAGTTTCAAAGACTCTAAGAAACGACTGTAGGTACAATATTTAAAGTATTGGCATGGTGTCTCATATTTTAGGGTGTCTGACTGGGATAAATTCGTTACTCATTTATACGAGAATTAAGAAGCTTCTATGCTGATTTCCAGAAAGGCCAGGAAGTTTAACTGAGGCTCCAGGTAGATCTGCGTGTGTTAGACCTGACGTTAGTTTAGGTCCGACGTCCATTTCGGTATTGAGAACAAAACCCTTTTAACTGTGTGTTTACTAAATATCATTCACAGAACCTTTTCGCACTGACAAAATTCAAAATGCCGCCACATCAGCATAATATGCAAGGGCATATTAACTTCTACACAGTTTCAAAAAGAAAGTTGATAGATTTTATGTCATTTTTTATAACAATGACCCCGTTTTCAGTTACCATCACATCTATATATGGATGCCTCTTGGAGTCCAGCAGTTCGGCCACGCATCTCTACATTTAAGTAATGGCGAATATATCAGTCTGTGGCCTAAAGAGGTCGGAGCTAAATCTGGGCTAAAGAAGAAACGAAGATTCAACTGCTGCCTTTATGGAGATATTGCAGCAGAGGCCATGACTCCTGACTATATGTATAGGATTTCGTCTACACAATTAGACCTGGATGAAATGATGAAGAGCTGGAAGAAACAAAAGGACATACCTCTGTATTCCCTTCTGCGTCAGAACTGTTGCAGGGTAGTGTACAATGTCCTCCGTGCAGGTGGAGCCCCAAAGAGTCTTACAATTGTTTGGAGACCAGAAACATTACGGAGATATTTGGTCATTTACCTGGGAGGTGGATCAAGCTTAAAGACTCTGCTCAACATGCCAGGTTGGGATTCCCCTTTGAAAGGTAACTACCATAACCTGATAGAATGCCTCGGTTTCATATCAGACAGAATAACACGAATTATAATATGACTACTAATTTACCCTTGTTCTCCCGTGACGATACTGATTCAGAATTGTTTCCCTTTCCAGTCACTGACATGGGAATAGGTTGATAGATCCAGATGTAAACTAACTATACTTGTCTTATCAAACTATTTTGTTATATGTAGTTATGTGTCATATAATACAACTACTTTCGGTTGAGCCAATGATTTATCGACCTTCGTGTCGGGGAATACCACTTGTCCAAGGTCGATAAATCATTAAAACAGCAGAAATTGAAGACAATATTTGCATTTTCGTACCATGCTACCCTCAGCAATTGGTCTGCACATGGTACAACTACATGTATATATACTGATGAATGGATTCATGTAAATGTTGGCAAGATGAACAGTAACGAACTTTATGTTTTACAACTAACCATCAGTTTCTAAAAATACCAATCAAACAGATCGTTGTCAAGTTCTGTCCAAACATTCATAACAGATCCTGATGTTCATCAATGTGTCTCATGAATGTAATAAGCATATTGTGTAAATATTTCAGAGAAAATAAAGATGTACACATGGGAAGCTAAGGATGGAAACGAAAGACACTTTGCACTATCTCTGGATGAGTCAGTGTACGTAAGTTGGTGGCCCCGTACCTCTCGGGCAGCAGGGCATGCAGCAGAAAGCTTAATGGATGATCGATCAACGATTGGACGAGTGGAGGATAAGACCTATAACTTTCCTGACAACGGGATGGAGTACCACCTGATGAGGAGACGTTGGAAGCAAATGTTGGAACATGAAACATCTAACATGTGGGAAACTTCCTCGGACTGGGTGGTGTATTGGATTCTGGAGGCGGGTGGCATTTTTGTTCATCAATTAGAGAACATAATGAAGGAATATGGAATGTTTGAAACCCGCAGGAGAAAGTTATCATTCCAGTATAAGGATTATAAGGAGGGATGTCGCCGGCTGGATGTATCACAGCTATATAAAGCGAATTTGTTCGGATTTTCAGTTATGTGAAACATTGTTTCTTCACAGAATGTTTGAAACCTTGAGAAGAGAATGATGACAGAGAAAATATCTACTGAAATCTGGGAGAAACAATGTTTGCGTTCAGATACCTACCGCATACCCATATGCTCTATGATACTGTGTCAGCCTTGGCATTTGAGTGATGCTGATTATCAGATCATTCTCATGCATTGAGATGCATTTAAATATACAACTAAGTAAGATCTTTCAAGCTTACTGGACAATGGATCAAGTTCTGCAGTCCAGATACTTTCCGAAGGTATTACTTGGTTTGCTTCGATGGTGGATACAGCATTAAAACATAGCTGAACAGGGATGATGTTGGAAGCAATTGTTGGCGAAGGATACTATATGGAAGATATGTCCAAGGTGGTGTATGGGTCATGTCGTGGTTTTGGTTGACGAAGTGCTAAAAGTCTCAACTGACGTCGACGCCTTTGGAGAAGAAGCCATTTCTTTTGTCCTAATTAGAGAAAGTAATGTGTGATACCTTCAGGAGAGAAAGATGTGGGAGAGAATATCAGTAATGAGGTTTGATGTCTCCGACTATATATATCAGGGATATATAAATCCTTCTGACTGCAGGCAGTAGATCGGATTTCCAATTATGTGAAACAGTGTTTGAAACCTTGAGCAGAGAAGAGTGACAGGGGGAACATGTACTGAAATTAATCTACTGAACTCAAGTTTCAGAAACAATATCTGCGCACAGAACGTTGCTACATACACACATTCTGTATGAACCAGTCCAATGGCTCTTTTTTTGGTGGTTATTGTTATCCTCATGGATTTATTTAGAACCTGCACAAATATACGAAAACATACGATGTGATAAAAATTTGCTTGGTTGTGTGTGCACATTCAGTTGTACGACCGTTTGGAGACCAGACGCAGTGATTCTAGGAATTCACAAGTATCAACACTCAGGAAAGAGTCGGACATAATCGGCTCCGGAACCCCTAAAATATTATAGTTATATATATTGGGTTTACTATACTAGCCACATAAAGAAACTCTGCACACAGAATATTCCTTCAGAATTTGAATACAACACAGAAAAGACGAAATGAAGTAGTCACTTTATAGGTTGAAGTATCGGACCACCACAAAATGTCAAAAGAACATGAGCAATATCCGTAACGATGACGTCAGAAGTTCAAAATCGAGTAGGGGGTCACACGACGAAGTCACAAAGTCAATAACGGGTATGACCACCATGTGCGTCAAGCACAGCAGTGCATCGACGATGAATAGAGGCTACTGAATGAGCATTAGAGGCCTGATGAATGGTCTTGGACGTGGTCACTGCCGTCTTGAACCTGTGTCTGAGAAGAGTCACCCGAATCCATCTGTCCTGTCTTGGCGTCGTTACGTCGGGGACGCCCAGAACGTGGGTGGTCGGCGACGTCATTACTGTTTCGATAACGCCGGACCAATGCAGATATCGTGTTACGATGGCATTGGAAATGTGCTGCCACCTGTTGTTGGCTCATTCCTGCTTGGACCATTCCAATGGCTTCTTGACGTTGAGCAGATGTTAATCTTGGCATGATGTGCATGTGAATTCTCATGTGAATTTGTGAACGTTTAAATGACCAAAGATCAAACTTTCTACAGTGACAGCAAGTTCACATGTTGTGTACAGCTGCACGGGCTGCACATGCAGTAACACATTGCAAGTCCATAGGCCACCATCAATGACGTCACGTCGCCTGGCACGCGCATGAGCGTTTGATTGTCTCCAATACTTGCTATGTTCATACCTGTATTTATGTATAAAAACGCCGTGTGCCTATATGTATATTTTCTGTGTGGACAGTTTCTTTATGCGGCCAGTATATAATACAAGTACATTGCTATCAGAGATGAAGTCACTGTCTTGGTCCATCCTATCAAGTTCTAACGGACATTGGGGTAGCATAGTGGTTAAAGTTTTCGCTCGTCACGCCGAAGACGATGGTTTTATTGCTGGAATAAAACCATACACACTCACTCACTCATTCGTATGCCATGCAATGGCTGTGATGATTTATTTATTTTTTACTTGTTTTAAAGATTTGATGTCTATCTTCTGGTGAATTAAAGGGTAACACATGATTGGAATTAAAGCAATGAAACATCATCCTTGCCGCTAGGAAATAGAATATGTCAGATCAGGAATAGTAGTACATTCTTTCGGATAAACAGCTGCGATATTCAATTTGCTTCTCACATCCGGTCATCCAATACTAAGACATTGTTGACCCGGAAGTAATTGTTGTTGACATCAAAGTAATTGTCCTATAGTTTATACTGTTATGTGGTTGAGCTATTTAATGTGTAATACATATGATATTCAGTGAGGGGCAGTGGTGTGCTATAATTAGACTGTGCTACAAACCTGTATGATCTCCGGTGACTCTGACAACAGGGTAGAATGATCTGGAAGGTACTACAATTAGATTATACCAGAATCAATCGCCTTAGGGTTGACTTTTCTAGCATCTTTTACTTAAGTATATAAGAGTAGACAGCTACTCTATTTTGCAGTGTCAAAGTGATATCTTTGTAATGATTTGTACTGATTTCTGCAGTTAATTAGAAAGTTAATTTTAGAATACATAACATATCTTTGTTGTTTGTTCGTTTCGCACCTATTTTCTATGAACTGATTCCCAGTTAATATTTTGGTTTCAACACGTAAGAGTACAATCTAACTATTACTGTGACCTTTTTGGGGTAACCTATCCATTTTACAAAGTTTTCCAAATAACCAACTTTAACCTCTTACTTTTCTTAAGTATTTCGTCGACTTTCCACTGTCCAAACACTGTCAGCAAGCTTGACTACTGTCTGAAATTCCCATTGAAACTGCATTGTATTGGATGGTTCACCAAGTCTTGCAATAGAAAAACTGCTGTTCCATCTCTGCAGCATGGTCTTCTTCAGTCGTCTTCTCTAAAGTGTGAAATTCTCACTTGATCTCCGAGTCTAAATATTCACTTTTTCTTAATCTGTGTACGTTTGGATTTCAGATCATTAGATTTCTTTCTTGTGGATGTGTATAGTGGTCTTCCCACACGAGGAAACCAAGGCATCTTGTGGTGAAAGAGGGATTAGAACTCTGACTGTGGTCGTGCACAGAAAGCTTACTTACAAATATATCACTACCTTGATGAACTAAAAGACCTAGTTAAAGACTATAATCACGGATCACACAGATAATAAAAAATTCCCCTTCTGATATTAATGAATTTGTGATATCTAATTGATCGTCTTTACATGACAGATCTACTTCGCTTTATGTTCTGCTGTCAAAACCTATTTACAGATAATATTAGCATGTGCAAATGTGAAAGGTCATTGTGCGAACATTCGAAATATGAACTCGTGTTATTGTCCGACGATACCATGGTGAATGCTAGTTATCCACTAAACACTGTACTTAAGTCAACTTAGTCAAGATATGACGAAACATTGCCGATGTGACTTTTAATTTTAACTCACTCACTCACTTAAGTCACCCCCCCCTACTATGATGTCAGGTTACGTGAAGTCGAATCCTGCTCATTAACTCTCGGTAGTTTCCGGAACATGAGGTTTTTAATGTGTTTGGCTACAAATATTGACTTACGAAAAAACATTCTTCAAGATATTTCTTTTTATATGCTTTATAAATGATTTGATTTCAGATTGTTACTGTATCTCCTTAAAAGAGCGCTGTAGCGAATATATGGTCTAGAGAAGCTAACCGCTTCCTGGTGTGATGTAAGCTGATATTATATTGGTCTTTCACTTTACAGTGCTGGCGAACCAGAACAGGAAGCTGGATGTCCAGAATTTAAATACACGCTTCACAAATATATTCGACAGCGGGCATGTGGAATTCATTAATAGCAATCTGTTCAGCTATCCGAAACACTAGCTTTATTTACACAGCGAGTAGTCAACACTACACAATCTTGTGAACTGACCCAAATAGATTATGTTTATCATCGCTGAGACGGTTCAAGTCACGTTTTGTCTATTTATAACATGGGATTTCCCTAGCTAAACACAGACTCGATATTGCACAACACCTTTATAGCTTAAAATTCCAGACGTCAACACGATTAACCAATCAGGGTACGGGTTCTATCTCTATGACACTTCTACAAAACACGTGACTCTGATTAACAAATTAAAACACGTGAACCAGGTAAACAAGGTTACATCCACTGTCAGTTTGTTTTGCTTACCTAATACTATCAGATGTACCACACACATCACCAGCAGCTGCATCCTTGCACTTTGAGCTTGAAGTATTATCAGGCCATAAGCAACCACCTCTTTCTGTGTAGCTATTGGCGAGCCATTTTTCTCTGAAGGTATGGTGTCATCCATTACAACCTCGACCGAAGAAACAATGGCACAGTCTGACTCAAGGTTTGTTTTCATAACTCCAAAAATACCTTTTCATTATTTGAAACATGAATGTGAAAGTTTGATGGATTTCGTATCTTCATTACTCCTCTCCAACTTGTGTATACCACAAGGGCTATTAAGTATTGGTACGAGCTATTGTATTTGGATGGTCACAGGCTGTCAGTGCTACGTAATGCTCAAACCACATTACTCATATTAAAAGTATTCTGTTTAGTCTTTGATTGGGATATGGGTGGTTAACTTTATGGTAAAGTCTCTATGGTTCATCTTGATAACAGTGGCTCTGTCTGGTGTTTCGACATTAGTTGCAAAGCTATTGCCTCTTGTACCTTTCATCTTATCCTGTCTCTTCTGTTCTTTGAAGGTCATTTAAAATCGAAATACATGAGAAAAGAGAGATTTATGTATGTCAACTTCTTTATTGTGTATAATACCTTGCATACATGTATTGTGTTATACACAATAAGAAAGGAGACATCCATAAATCTCGCTTTTCTTATCTTGTCTCTGTCTGTTAACTCGTCGTGGCACTCGTCTTCCGTCCTCAATGTTAGCATACAATAGATCTGCTAACATATGTGCCTGTTCCTCAACAAAGCTAACTCAATCTTGGAATGTTACCTTTCTGTCCCATTGTTCGTGAATGGCAAACTCCTGACTACGCCATCTGTCCGGCATCTTGTTAGGTAACCTGGAAATGATAATTTTCATGTTTTTGGGATGTTCTAGCTCCCTCAAATACTTAATGTCTGCCATACTGTTGTCATATTCCAGCAGTTACAATGAATATATATGTTCAGTTCATCACGGTCTTTGGCCTTCATATGCGGTCACTGTAGAGCTTTCTCTGTGTATGATGTAGCTGCTTTAAACTTGTTTTCAAACTTAGACTGGAGCAGCTTTTAGCATCCATGTGAATACAGCTCTGCGCCAATTCTCCTTGCATTCCACCTGCACACTGTTCCAGATAATTCAGTCTATCTTTGCAACTGTCTGTTTTACTTTCTATTCATTCAAATGCCATGGTGAATTACTTAATATATATTCCAAAGGATCTCATTTGAACACAGGAACTCCTGAACACAGAAACCTATGATAACTGGTCGATTCATGGATGGCAAGATTGCCAAATTAACTTGGACACGAGAGGTTGAGGGAATCCTTTTTTTTTCTCAATACAGGTGGAAGCAGGTATTCGATTATTCTTGCATGCAATCTATGGACCCTCTCCTGAAACATGCACAGCTGTGAGGTGTGATGACGCTTGTGTCCTGGTGAGCCTCTTCTACTATACTGAAAGCCATTAAAAATGCAATTTGACATTCATACTTTCTTTACTCACACTAATTTCAACATATATAAACCTAACTGGCAGATATGTTTTAAGTGAACATCTGTGAATAATTTCATCTGAAAATGTCCAGTCAACAACAACATCAGTGTCGCAACAACGACATCACACAAAGGAGGGGTCACTTGCAATCAATATCGTGGGTGTCCACCGCGCGCTGCAAGACATGCTCGCAGTGTTTGGGGCATTGAAAGACACACATTTCTCAGGAACAGCTGTTGGATGGTCTGCAGCCTCTGATGGTCTGTGGTCTGATCATGACACCACCCCCTCCAAAACGATCATGTTCAAGGACACAGTTTGGCGCAAGTCTTTCACATTTACGTCGATAAATCTGTGGACGTCCATCTGCAAAGGATAAGTTAAACCTGGATTCATCTGAAAAAATGACATCTGGCCATGTCCTGTTGCCAAGATTGGCCCCATTTGCTGCCCATCGCTGTCTGGCAAGTCTGTGGCGTTGCAATAAGGTTGGACCACGGTACGGGTGACGACACCGGATGTTGAAGGCAGCAAGGCGTCCTTGCACCTTTTGGGCGCTGAAATGACGTTGACTTGTCCCAATTGTCCTCCTTGCCTAATCATCAGCTGTTTGGAACCGATTTCGCAAGTGTGAAACTCGGACATTGCGGTTTTGTTGAGCTGTTATCACAGGTGGTGCACCAGGTCGCGGACGATCAGCAACACTTCCGGTAGCCGGAAAACGTTGTCTGAGTCGACTTACAGTGGATGGATGCTCATAAAAGTGCTTGGCAATCATCACATCTGAAGCACCTTGGCTAACCATACCGATAACCTGATTCCTTTCGTCTTGTGTCAAGTGTGGCATTTTCTCAAAGTGATTGAGTTCCACAATTCCTTGTGCTTTTACAGGGCCTAGGTGCAGGTAATGCATGTGCACAACGTGTTTCATGAATGTGGTTGTGTTTACGAGAAATGTCAAAGGTTCAGTTTTAAGTATCAAAGTTCATGTGAGAGGAATGCTCCGGGACTTGAACTCGAAATGGGCCAGAAGAACAGCCTTTTATCCCTACATCCTCTGTATCGCAGGAAAAAATCTTCAATAGAACTTTTGTAAGTTTCAGGACAACAAATACCAATTCCGTTTTTAATGGCTTTCAGTATATTACACACCTGGACTTATCAAAGGCATGCATGCATTCATGACACGCAAGCACCACAGAATACCATTGGCAGTTCATAACAGTTACTAAGAAGATTTCCTCGGTAAATATATGGCAAAGCCAGAGGAAATTGTACAACTCTTGAAGTATAGGTCTTCATTTCAACAACAAAACATAAACGTTCCTTGCTTCACCCCTCCACTGGAAATACCTAGAGGAAGCACGTAATGAGTAATCAGTAACCCGCTTGGTGTCACGGCCATATTTGTCTGCCATATTCGCCATACCCTACCTGTGGATGGAGCCAGAGTGAAGAAAGCCCCAGTTCCCATCATGTTGTCATGAGATACGAAATGAGAGATTCAGTGTATCTGTACATTCTGTTTTGCAGCGTTCAGCTTCAAGAAAGTGCCAGTGGTTGTCACATAATCTGTGACGTTTAGTGTACATATATAGGCCAGCCTGTGAAAATACTAAAACGTATCTTTGAAGTACAAGATGGAGAACCTTAGTAGACTGTGATGACATACAATGCAGTTCGCAGGAACTAGTTTTATGTTTCAACAGATTTCGTCTAGTTTCAGTGTTACAGGTTAAGATGTGGATTTCCCTGCATTCAGTGCTCATCCTGAACCACAGTGTATATTTGTGTTCTGCTTTACAGATGTCTGTTTTATCCTATGCAGTCCATTGTATGGAAGGTTTGTCTAGATGGCCTGTCTGAATGTGACATATCATGAACATGTGCTGACCTCACCTATAAAAACAATGTTGTGTACATAACATATTTCAATCGATACTCTACAAACTATTTAATCGAAGGGTGCTGATGTTACCATCACGTTTGTGTTTGTCTGTAACTAGTTTTGATACATGAATAATCACTGAAACATACAGAGAAAGGAAAACGTAAGGTTGTCCTTGATTTATTACAAAACTTGGATAGTCATTGAAAATCATCCATAATTCCATGGAAATGATCCTTTTCCTCCCTAACACCAGAAATAGTACTATACACTATTTTTCATCTTTGCAGCATCGCGTTTTATACAGTAGAGAATCCGGTATCTAAAGCGACGATGCATGTCAATAAATAAGAAAATATGCAATATTTACTGCAAAATTTATGAATTTGACGCGTTTTTGAAATTCTCAAGCATGTTAATTTGACCTTGACCTCCAAACAATTTTCCCTGTTTGTAAATATGTGAGTTGCATGTTACACAAGCAACCACTTGAAGATATGTATAAAGAAAAGTGTTAATGTTATGCTTGATTTATTCACATAAAGAATGTTGCTGAAAGTAATTGGCACACACACACACACCTTGAACGTGTTTATGCATTTATCATCCATGAACACCAGTAAACATTCCTGAAAAGCAATATTTATTTAATACAGGCATGATATAATGCATTCTGTGATTAAATATAAAATGCATGGTAACCATGGACACGCCCTGAATCACACGCGGCTTTACAATTACTGGTCTGAAATGTATTTTGTTAGAAGGCTGACTCTGTGAGGTGTCTTATGACACCAAATACACGGCTCTGTACTTATACCATACTCAGCAGTTAGGAAATTAAAGATGCGAGGAAAACAAGAATTTCAAGCACGAATAGCGACAAATAGGATAACTGTGACTTTGAACTTATTGCTTTCCCTGGCTCCGTGAAGCAGTGCTTGAGTCAGCACAGGCATTCTGAAAAATGATACATTCACTATTCACACTATTCCTTTATATCTTGCAGTCATGTTCTCTGAAAAATAACATGGTGACCATGGAAACCAATGGAAAATGAATGATACTTTCAAGTCTGGCAACATTGGTTTTGGAAAACTGGAGAACCAAAGCTTTCCAACGGTACCAAATACATCTTACTATACCTCCGGTAGACGTGTTTAAATTTCTTACACCAAAAACCACTGCTTTAACTGTCTTGTTAAAACATGCCACGTTCCTGACCTGACAAACGGAGCACAGAAACAAAATGTCAACATGTCAGGAGTATCATAAAATATACTGTTGCCTTTCTCGCATCTAATACGCTCTTGCAAGAAATAATATAAGCAAGGCATATAGTGACAAAAATTTAATGCCTGGATATTCCAGGAATTTTTCAAAGGTTAGCAACTGCCAATCAGTAGTGACCAAATCGTTTATGAAGTTTATTCCAACTTGTGCATAGCATGGGAAGTATATAGTTTGATGTAGTGTCAGACTTCCATTTCTTTGGTTTAATTTCATCGAGCTTTTTTAGGAACATTTTTATTGTTTCACATATTCGACATTTTATGACAAATAACCAGACAGAAATGGCAAAAATCTTCCAGGAACTATTATTCTGGATTTATTGACAAACTGAAGGAACAATCCTAGTAATGTATTAGGAGGACACTTAAATGCGCGAACTGGTAGTGTGGCTGATTACTCGAGTGATAACATTGCTGATGAACATGAATATCCTTTCGATCAGATAAGATACTGTTGTAAACAGATTTGGCCAAACCCTCATTGACT